AAAAAAAAAAAAAAAAAAAAAGTTCGATTCCTGGTACTTGAAGTCTCAAAAAATTATTTACGAATCATTAAATACAAGAACTATTCCAAGACCACTGATGATGGGTATTTGACAATACTCGAAACAGCTGTATGGTCAGCCAAAAATTCAATTAATTAAAATAATATAAAATGAATTTTTATTGTTGTAGTTCACCTATGTTCGAAAAACCCTCTATTCTGATTAAGGTCATATAAATTCTTACTTGGCAAGTCCATTCGCTTACAGTCCCCAAATATATTTCTTTATTGAGAACCCCAAAAAAAATATATAATAAACTGTGCCAAAATTTCATTTGGAGATTAGTACGATCTTCATAATAAAATTCTTACCTTTTGCTTTTGTTCCTTGCGTAGTTTCTTCTGATGAATCTCAACGAGTGATTCTTCGCGTTTGTGTTTCTTTTTAAATTTTTTTGCTAAAAGTTCTTGTTCTTCATCACGTTGACGTTCATAGAGTGTTTGTGCATTATTTATCAATTTTTCAGTAGCAGCTTTTGAAGTACCAGGTTTTGTTGTAGAATCAGTACCACTATTTGGCGTCTTTGTCCATTCCGATCTACAGAAAATAAATTACAATTAATCAATATAATTGTTGTGCTCGTTTCATAGCATATCAGATTATATTCTCAACATACCTATCACTAAAATCTGGCTTTTCCTTTCCTTGATGAAATGTACGCTTCATATTTGCAATAGCAGCCAATCCACTTTTAAGTCCTACATCTGGTAATTCTAACATCCATTCCTCACGTAATTTTTGATCGACATTTGTTAACGTATTACCTTCGATGGCCGCTAATTTAAGCTCCAAAGCGCGTTGTTCCAATTTGATTTGTTGTTCACTCATATGCTGTTCTCCACTTTCAGCCAAATTAATTGGCATAGGACCATAACTAAAATAATCATCATCATCATTATCATCATCGTCTTCATCTTTCAACTTTTCTTGTGTTTCCATGGGAATTCCTTGTTGTGGTAAAATAGGCCCGACTATATTTCTCTCCTCGGTAACTGCATTTTGTGCTGGGAGATGTTGTTGTTGCTTTTGTAGTAAATGTGGTGGCAATGCTGGACCAAAAACGTCATCTAAAACTGCAACATTTTCTGATGAATTTCTTGTGATTGGAGGTATCATAATGGGAACGGATCTCATTTCATCAAGTTCTAATTCTCTACTACGTTTCTTCTTCTTTGACCGCTTTTCTTTTTTCTGCTTTTTATGCTTCTTTTCTGATTTTTTCTTTAGTTTCTTATGAATTTTGTGTCTCCTTGTCTCTTCTGATGTTGAGGACGATGCACTAGTATCTGTGTCGCTCGACATAGTTGTTGAATTCTATATTCAAGATCTGTGCAGAATATTCTGCTTCTCTGAAGGATATTCAACTTTTGTGATGGATATTCAACCTCTGTGAATAATACACAATATTTACTTGTTGTTGTAAACGAGTCCTTAAAATCAGTATTCCAGATATCCCTAAGTGTAGTGTAGTGACAGCGCGGGAAACTGTCAAGTGTTAAGTATGTTCAGTGTAAGCTTTAAGTTTGTACAAAGAACATGAAGTAACGTAATTTATGTACGTGTTTACTGACATGTACCATCAAGAGTTATTTTCTGTATATCCGCATTTTGTTAAATATAAATAAAATAATGCAATATTAAAGTAAAAAAGCAAACAAAAACAAAGGAGTCTGTTTGTTCAGTTAGTTGCTGATGATACTTCTTATACTAATAAACGGTTTTAGTATCTGTAATGCACTCGCTATATTAATAATAGTGATATTTATGTAAACCGATCAAATGGAAAATAAAAAATCGATCCAGAATTATTTGTTTATTTGTTTATATGTTTTATATTATACGTTGGTTATGCACTGAACATTCATTCAAACTGCAACTCTGACTTTTTTGTTTTTATTTAATATGACTTCAACATGTCAAATGTGTCACGTTTCTGCCGAAATTGTGCGGGCATCTATTATTTATTTAGTGTAAATGTTGTAATATTAACAATTATTATATAAAAAATAAGCAAAACAAGGATGAAATAAATATATATTCTGTTGCCGTACGGAATGAAATCCATACTACAATTGTAGAATCAGAAGTAAAGAATATCATTATTACAACAGAAAGTTCTGTATTCAAGAGTGTGGAGGATATTCAATTTCTCTGAAGGATAATCAACCTCTGTGACGGATATTTAACGTCTGTGATGGATACTCAACTTTTGTGAAGAATATTCAACTTCTCTGAAAAATATTCAACTTTTCTGAAGAATATTCAACTTTTGTGATGGATACTCAACCTTTGTGAAGGATATTTAACTTCTGTGATGGGTATCAACTTCCGTGAAGGATATTCAACTTCTGTGATACACACTCAAACTCCGTGAAGAATATTTAACTTCTGGGATGGATATCTACTTCTGTGAAGGATATTTAAAATCCCTGAAGGATTTTCAACTTCTCTGAAGGAGACTCAATCTCTGCGAAAAATATTCAACTTTTCTAAAGGATATTTAACTTCTGTGATGGATGTCAACTTATGTGAAAGATATTCAACTTCTCTAAAGGATTTTAAAGTTCTCTGAAGAATATTCAACCTCTGTGAAAGATATTAAATTTTCCTGAAGGATATTCAACTTCTCTCAACGATATTCAACTTCTCTAAACGATATTCAACTTCTGTGATAGATATGCAACTCCTCTTAAAGATATTCAACTTCTGTGAAATATATTGAACCTTTATAAAGGATATGCAACATCTGTAAATGATATTTAACTGTAAAAATAAAGAAGAAATGAAATAATTTTAATGTGCTCATTTATGCAATTATTTTTATTAATATATTATATAAATAATAAAAAATTAATCGTTGTACTGGTATTTACAATTAAATATTAAATGCAATGCATACGTATTGTTAAAAACACGTATTTCGTTATCCTTAAATCATAAAAATTACGCTAACAAATTGAGTAGAATCTATGATTCTGGCAGCTAACAATTCTCACTATGAATTATAAAATAAATAACAACTACGAAATGATTTCCTACTTAATAATATATATAACAATCAAATTAAATTTGTCCTAAATTTCAGATACATCAGTAATAACGATTAATTGGCAAATGTCTTAAGAGCTTTCCGGTAGCTGTAGACCACTGATTTAAATAATCCTGCGGATGGTATATTTTTGAAGGACTGCGTTATGCTGCTGCGCCAAACAATATCATTGACCGACATCTGTACAATATCATGTAGGTTGTCAGTTACCGCAAGTTGTTCTATGATATCAGCGTAGCTACCGCGGAAAGCAGCATTTCGTATAATACATTCCTTAAGTCTGCTGGGAACACGTCGCAAATGATATTCATTAGCCAAACGTGATTTATCTTGCTCAAATTGTACAACACTGCGATTAGTGCCCAATTCTCTTGCTTTGAAATCCACTGCAACATATTTGGCCAATTGTTTTAACGCAGGCTGATAAAGCTCTAGGAATTGCTCTTGTTGTGCTTGTACAATGTTATGAACTTTGTTTTTATTCTCTCCGAATATCATACGAAAATCACCTTTGTAACTCAGACTACATATGGCATGTAATAATTGATAAGTGGAAAATCGTTCTGGTAAAACCAGTAACGCTACTTGCAGCGCACTTACAAGATTTTGTGATAAAGCCTCCGTAAGCACCTTGTCATCCGTTGCAGGAACTATATCTTGTACTGGTTTATGTAGACGACCAGCCAAATATAAATATTTCCATTGTTGTAAGTCTTTTAACAAATCATCGCGTGAAACAACACCATATTTGATTGTTACGCCCAAGTCTTCGAGCGGCACCAGCGTATTACAATAGACACCGGCACCAAAATTTTCTTGATATTTTTTTATATAATCTGCTCCAAGGTGCCGCAGAGCAGAATAATGTTGCGGATGTCGAGCAATGTTCTCCGCATGCCAACCTAAAGTATCTCGCACACAAAAAACCAAATCAATGATATTTTTCTTTTCTTCTTTTTGATCATAACCAAGTTGCTGTTTTACGCCTGAACCATACGCAAATATATAGGATATACCACCGCGGGGAAATCTGGTTATTATTTGTCTATAAATAGTCATTAATAATGCACAATATTTACTTGTTGTTGTAAACGAGTCCTTAAAATCAGTATTCCAGATGTCCTTAAGTGTGGTGTACTGGCAGTGCGAGAAACTGACATCAAACGTTTAGTGTGTTCAGTGTAAGCTTTAAGTTTGTGCAAAGCACATGGAGAAAGGGCAACAAAAGTTATACACGAATTTTTTGGTTCATTATAATTTTGCTGGGATATTCTCAGCCTTTGTCTAGAGTCGCTGCAATAAATTTGTACTTCTCAAATAAAGAAAGAAGTTATGTTCAATTTTAAAGAATTTATTTAAAATATTATTATTTCTTTAAAATAGTATTTTAAAAACAAAAGAAATTAATTATATGTAATAGGGTTAAACGGCGATTATTTCCTGGTTCGTGTGACACGCTAATAGTGGGGATTGATCCTTTGAAGTTCTTAGTGATCTTTAATCTGGTCTTGTAGTTTGGTTCTGGGGGTGTTTACTTTGATTCGCTTGCTCTATGATTACCTGTTTATGAAAAACGGGGTTAATGAAAATAAAAGAAATATATATTCTATTTATAGAATATATATATATATAATAGTTTTCAAGGTCGTCGATATAAAACCGTCTCTGCACTTGCTAATATTTTATTTCTTACAAAAATGCGCCGTATTTTATACGCATTCGTCTGAATCTTTTGTGTAAAATACACAAAACTTTGATTTGATCTTCATTGAACTTTGATGCAATATTACACTTTTGCACAAAAGCTTTCTTGTGCATGTTTTCGCAGCGAATTGCATACTGACGTTTCAAGCTTATTAATTTTGTTTTGATTTTATAAAAGCGCTTTTTAAGTGCCGGTGTTAGTGTTTTTATCGTGTATTTAGTTATTTATATATATAATACATTAATTATTATTTATTTAAATAAATTAACGGGGATAAATAATGAAGGTATGTATTTATTATTTTATTAAAATATTTATTATAAATCTATTTATTATAAATTTATTTTCTTCTAATTTCAGATTACTTCACGTGTTGTCGTTGCATGCATACTGGGGTGGGTTTCGGTAAGTTGCTTATCATTTAATATTAAATAATAATTAACAATTTCAGATAGAAGCAGTACAGTGTTATTCAGGAAATTGGTCTCTAATATATTACAATAAAAAGAAGTTTTAATAAATATGGTCTTTGTAAATAAAAAATTATGAAGGGAATTTATTGAAATCTACGAAAACTTACCTTCGTTGTAGAAAATTAAAGATAACGATTACCATAACAGAAGTTTAAAAATTAAAGGGAAATTAAAAGAAATTTACCCCGATGCAAATATTGAACTGGTAAAAAGGAAAATTAATAACTTGCAAAGTGGTTATCGGAGAGAGTTGAAAAAAATAACACAAAGCGAGAGGTCTGACGCAAATATAAATCATTCCTCTGATATTTTGACGATTTGGGATTTCCAAAAGATCAAGAGTCTCCATTTGCAGGAGTGACGTCAGTTTATGAAGTGTTAGACGAAAGTTTTATAGAAGTATGTGTTTGCAACTTTAGTAAATAAAAATATGCTTCTAAAAACTAAATATAGATTAAAAATATTAACTACTTTGCGTTCTATTAATTCAGGAACAGTCGGATCTTAGCCGTTAAAAACGACAACAACAAGATGATGCGATAAATTTAAGTATCGGTTGGGCAACACAATTTCGTAAGTTGAATTTCAACCAAAAAATTTATGCTAATAAGATGATAAATGAAGTGCTCTACCAGGGATTTGGATTTGTACTCTTATAAAGTTATATGAGCTTGCGGAACATCATTTATCACAATCATTTTCGCCAAGCTTTGCATCTTCATCAACTAATACTCCATCACTCCCTTTTTGTCTACTTCACAAAGGTAACACCAAACATCTATTTACCATCATTGGTGTATAAAAACAACAGAAGTACTGTAGCGTTTAAAATCTCTTGATAGATAAGGAATTTACTTAAATTAGTTTTAATATTTATTAAAAGTTTTTTAAACAAAATTAATTTAATAATAGATTCGCTTCAATTTCAAAGGTATATTTAATTTCGTTTTGTATTTATACATAATATTTAAATTGATACATTATTTAACTTAATATTACATTTATGACTAAACAATAAATGTTATAAAAAAATTTTTCTTATATTAATTAATTATTTTATTGTATTAATTGCTTTATTTATATTTTTCCGCTTGTATTAAAATAAGTACAAAAATTGTTCCTGGTGTCCTTTGCAATATTCGCTGCCTTGTGATTTTTACTCGCTCGCAGATTTGCTAATGGAAGATTCGTTGTGCTTGGATCATCTGTAGGTAAAGGTAACAGGTACGAAGACGCATATTTTTTACTTAAAAAGTTATGCAAGTAACAGATTGCCATTACAATTTTTATACACTTTTCCGGAGATAGATGAATTGTAGTCAGCAGTACTCGAAACCTTGAGGATATTATATCAAATGCATTCTCTACAATTCTACGTGCCCGAGATAATCTTTTGTTGAAGTAAACTTGTTCTGCTGTCAATGCAGTGCTGCTGTATGGTTTCATTAAATTCTCTCTAAGAGGAAACGCATTGTCTGCAACAAATACATATGGTAACTCTATATCAAAACTGGTTATTAGTCTTTTTGGCGGTATTTGTAGCTGACGGTCCTCAAACTTTTTATTAAATAATGTGTTAGAAAACGCCCCATCTGCAGATACTCTACCATTACATCCAACGTCAATCATCAAAAATTCATATTTTGCGTTCACCAATGCCATTAAGACAATACTGTGTGACTTTTTATAGTTAAAGTAAAAAGAATCACACGCGGCTGGTTTAATAATGTTTACATGCTTTCCATGCAACGCTCCTAAACAATTTGGAAAACTCCAGAGGCTGCTGAATTCATCAGAAGTAATTTTCCATACCTCTTCTTTTTTTTTGGCAACTGTAATTAAAAACAAGTAGAGTTAGTATTTTAGATTTGCTCTGTCGAACTTGGGTATTTTACTTACAGAAATGTATTTCTTTAAAACCTTTATGATAGCATTGCATGTCTCAATCACAATTTTGCTAATGCTAGCTTCAGAGATGTTTGCACGACATTTCATATCTGCAAAACTTTGGCCTGTTGCCAAAAAACGCAACTCTTTACATAGATTTTCATGGAACAACTTTGTATAAAGTCTAGTGAGAACTCTAGTGCCGCGCAAATAAATAACACAAGAATTTAAATTCAAACCAAAACAGCTGATTCACACATCACACATGTCGCTGTCAAATTTCGACAGGGATGTTACGCTTTTTCAGAAGCTATCATTTACTCGAAAATTTGCCGATGGAACGCACAGTGTTACTCAAAGTTACTATAAGTAGCTTGTGGAACAGACCTAATGTCGACTAGTTTGATGTGTAATAGCGACGACATCGATCGCTGACGCGCTTGTTACAAAAAATAGTTGTAAGTAGTTGCTGGAATATTTCGAAAAAATTATAGTATATATATTGTAATAATATTAGAAGCTTCATATATTAAATTAAAGTACTTTAAATTTTTAAAAAACAATTTTGTGGTTTCATTGCGTCAATCAGGGGTATCTCTTTTACTTTACATCCTTAACGAGTTCTATTGTTAGGTATTGTTATAGAATTGTTCATAGCTTAATATTGCTATGAACAAAATAATTAGTAGAAAACAAAAGAACGCACATTTTCGTTTCACGTTGATTATGCTTTTACCATAGGAATCTGCTTTAAGAAACGCTGTTTAGTGATTTATAACGAGATGATCTTCAGTTTTTGTTATCACTTGTTAAAATTAGTTACTTTATATAATACGTGCCCTTCAACTTCCACCAATTAGCTCAAGCCTTCTTAACTTCTGGTTCTTTTTTTGAATCTTATCGTCTATTTCTCTGTAAACCCGTTGAAATTATTTAAGTCCGTCTTAGTTATTTTGCTTTTTAAATATTTAAGTCTGTCGTAGTAATTTTGCAAAAACAACCTAACTTCCGCTCCTCTTTCATATAACAATTTTGTTATAAATAAATTTATTATTTTATTGTATATAAAGCCTATTGATTATATTTGTTTGTTTTGTACTGTACGTTGGTTATGCACTGAACATTCACTCAAAATGCAACTCTCACTTTTGTTGTTTTTATTTGATATGAGTTCAATATGTCAAAAGTATCACGTTCCTGCTGAAACCGTGTGGTCGTTTGTAAATTAATTTAGTGTAAATGTTGTAATATTAGCAATTATTTGATTAAAACTATGGATAATCAGAATGAGACGATCACAGAAGAACCCGCTGCTAAAAAAGCTAAGCTTCAAGAAAAAGCGTCAAGTAGCGGTTTGGAAAATCTTTTGAAGGTAACATGTGTGGTTTTATTTTGCTAATATTACGCCACATAAATAAAATATAATCTGAATACGAAAAAAGTGTTCACAAACAAATTTAAACTGTCTTTTTTTCCTTTAGACTGGATTTCAACAGGTGGTTAAGGCGGTAAAACTTTCGAATGGTATACCATCAGAAGAGGAGCGCAGTTACTATTCAACCTACAAATCATTTAATGACAATGTAAGCGCCCAATCTGATATGGTACTGAATCTTATGTCGCATATTTTAAAATATGAAAGTGTTGGTCTTTCACTACAAAAGTAATTAGATTAAAAAAATAATATGATACAATACTTTATTCATTAATATTATAAATATTTTAAGGCGTACTGATGATGAAAAATTTGACCTTTTGCAACAATGCAATGACGCCGCACTAGAACGTGTAAATTCTAATTTAGATATATACGCAGGGGCAGTACAGAAAGATATTCATCCAATAATTATAGAATCAGAAGTGAAAAAAATTGATATTACAACAAAAAATGCTGGAAGCTGGAATTTAAAACAAGCGAAAGAAACTACAGACAAAGAAACAATAGCGGCACGTTTAATAACAGCAAAAAACATTGCACGACCACAAATTAAATTCAATATACCAATTGATAATAGCAATAATACGCCATTTATACCAAAATTGACATATAAGCCGAATTCATTAAAACCATTGGCTATACTACCGGAATATGATGAGGCAGGCGATGTTGTGAGGTAAGCAAACATTTTGCATTATGGTTTAATAATTTTTACGTTAGTTAATAATTAATTGTGAATTATTTAGTTACTTGCATCCTTATGAATTTGAATTGGAAAAATTTGAGATGCCAGAAGAGGAATTGCAGCAAAAATCGCCTGTGAAACCAGCAAAAGTTGATGTTGTTGAGCTTATGCATGTCGATACTGTTGAGTTGCTCAACAAGGCGCTTGAGGAACTACGTCAACATAAAATGATTGCTGTTGATGTTGAACATCATGCATATCGTAGTTTCTTGGGATTCACTTGCCTAGTACAAATGTCAACCAAAGATAAGGACTATATATTCGATGCGCTAAAATTAAGAGATGATATGCATATTTTAAATGAAGTTTTAACTAATCCCAAAATAGTTAAAATATTTCATGGTGCTGATTTGGATATTATTTGGTTACAGCGTGATTTAAGTTTATACGTTGTGAACATGTTTGACACACATCATGCTGCGAAGTTGCTTAATTTCTCACGTCTCTCCTTGGCATATCTGCTTAAACACTACTGTGACATTGAAGTTGATAAAACATTTCAGTTGGCTGATTGGCGCATACGCCCATTACCCGATATGCTTATTAACTACGCCCGTCAGGACACGCACTACCTAATCTATGTGTACGAAAGTATTTGCAATGATTTGTTGGATAAGTCCAATCAGCACGGCAATTTATTGCGAAATGTGTATCAAACTAGCAATGAGTTATGCAAGCGACGTTACTGCAAACCACTATTTAATAACGATTCACATTTAGAATTTTATCGAAAGTCAAAACATATTTTTGATAATAGACAAATGAGTGCTTTAAGTGAAATATTTGCTTGGCGCGATGCGATTGCACGCAAAGAAGATGAAAGTTATAATTATGTTTTACCGAATCATATGTTATTGCGTATATCCGAGACGTTACCACGCGAAGCACAAGGCATTTTGGCTTGCTGTAATCCTATACCACCACTTGTACGACAAAATTTATATGTACTTCACGATATAATATTAAAAGCGCGCGCAAAACCGCTTATTAAGGTATCCTTAACAATAAAATACTATACAAATAATATATAAATATATTAATGTAATTAAATTATTATTTGCAGCCAACGCTTGTAGGTGATGCTTTTAGTCGTGTGGCAACAAAAGGCAGTAAAGATTATGACAATATATTATATTGTCCACATGATTTGACTGTGGTTGAAGATTTTCGTGATGATCTTCCTACTATGCTAAAAATCGATAAAAATAATGTCGATGTTAATGAAATTGATGAGATCGCAGAAAAAATAACATACTTACAACTTCCAACAGTGGATGTGTTCGAAAAAATGAATGCTATTTATGATGTAATTTATTATATTTTCTTAATATATATTAAATTCTACATTGTGTATAATAAAACCAATACTTTAATATTTTTAGGATCCATTGAAAAAGGCCATTAAAGAAGGATGTAATAAATCAAAGTTCAAGACACCTTATGAGCGTTATTTGGCGATATTACCACAAATTGAGAAGGAGAAACTTGAAGAAGCAGAGAGAATTGCTCATGAAAACAGGAGCCGGCAATTATGTCCATCTGCACCAAAAGTAGTGGTTAAAGAAGAGGTAAGCTATACCTAAATGTGAAGGTTAAGTGTTTAGAGCGTTCATTGTATACTTAGATTATTCCTTAAATTTAAAAAATCTTTCAATGTGAGATATTATGATTGTATTTTATCGAAAGTATTGTATTTTAAACAAATGGAATACGTTTGACCAAATTTTACCTGACTACAAATTGATGGAGTAAAAAATTAAAACCACTCTTTTGCGGATGAAGTTCTATTACTCGCAAGATAAATGAACTAACCCAGTTTATACTAAGACTGGAATAAAAAAGAAAAAATATTCCTGTTTCAGATTGATGATTCATACTAAGATCTATCAGCAAATAGTTCTAAAAACTATTTACTGATACACGCTTTGATTTTCAATAATGATTTTTTTCTATAAATCTAATACTTTGAACACTCATAACACCTCTCCATATAATTTATTTATACATATTTTCATATATAATTTTTATTATAGATTAACACAGAGAACGACGATACACTGAATGTATCAATTAAAGAATATTTAAAACGCAAACGTGTAGAATCAGATGGTCCAAGCACTTCAAGTAAAGTAGCAAAAATGCAAAGCACATCAACACTTGATCAGAAAGACAAACCCAGTTCTTCTAAAGCCAGTTTAAAAAAAAAAAATTCTACAAGTCATAAAACTGATAAGCCACCTATAATAAGTAAAGATGAAAGTCGTCTAAATGAATCAATTGTAACGATAGAGGATGAAAGCGATACTGATGTTATTGTTTCGACTGATGTAGATACAAATAAATCAAACACAAATGACAACAAAAATAATTTCTCATCAAAAGTTAAAAATAAATTTAACAATTTTAAGAAGAAATTTAAAAACAAAAGGAAAAATAAAGCTCAAAAGAGTGGACAATCCTCAAACGTTCCGGTACAAAACAATTTTGATTATAATAATGTGGACTTTAAAAAATTTCAAGGTGGTTCTCAACGTGCTAATGGCATACAAATGAAACAAACAATTCACGGCAAAGTAAGTTTATTAACAATTGTTTTATTTCTTTAATTTGTAATTTATTAATTTTCTTTTTTTTTTTTTCTATTTGCAGAGTAATTCAAATAAAGCTAAAAATAAAAAGTTCAACAAACTTTTTACATTTAGTAATGTAAAAAGTAAAAAGTAATAAAAAGGCGTAATATATTTTTTATTGATACTATCAAGAACATTAAATAGATAAACTAGAGTTCTTAATTGTTCTTCTAAAATTAGTTAGGAACTACGAGGAATATACCACATGCTAAGAAAAAATAAGTGTAATTAATGGAATCTCTTGTTTGAGAGATACAAAAACTTAATATTATAAACATAATATGATCATTGTGTCTCACGTTCCTAATGTTTGCTTTGCATATATATTTATCCTCAAACGTTCTTTTAGTGTTCTTGATAATACAAATTTAAATAGTTTATATTTTATTTCATTTTCTAAATAAACACAAAGTTTAGATAAGTTTTATACATAGTATATATTATTAACTTGTTTATGTATATTTTGAATCGAAAATTTAGACATTAATAAAATACTTTATATTTCTTTAATTTGTGTTGTTTAAAATATTTCTTTTAAATTGTTTGAACAAATGTATATATTATTATATCATTAAATTTCTTATATAGCATGTGTTTGCTTACGATTCGTAAGGCACATTTTATTTTGAACAGAATAGTTTTAATTTAATAATACTTCCAGAACATAATTTATATATCCTAAAGTACTGACATTAATTTTTTAATAAGTGTGCTAAAAACTCACATTCGGATAGAAAGATAACAAGATAAGGCAGAGGAAAGAAAGATAATATATAGATGGAGTTCTGCAAGAATGAAAGTTGAAGGTTAGGGAGACCTAACTTTTGTTAAAGACCCTGGATATCTATATAGTAAGAATTACGAATGAATTTATATGACGAAAGCAGTAGTATTTTATATGGAAAGACTACACTGAAACTGTACCGAAATCCGACTATCACTGGAATTCTATCTATAAAAATCTTACTTTACTTAAAAGACGAAACTTTCCACCAATTTTTACAATTAAAAAAAGTTAAATACATATATATATAAATAAATTAAATATTAAATACATATAATGTATATATATATATATATATGTAATATTAATAATTTTTTAACAAATTTGAAATGAACGTTATTGTATATAAGATATCCATATATCTCTCAACATTTATACTTGGGTATAAATAAAATATACAGGAACTCTTATTTCTACTTAGGCATATTGACCCACAACCCACACTGATATGTAGATAAATTGTTTTGATAGGCAAAAAGATATTTATAAATATTTAAATTAATATTACTAAATACAGTTTATTGCTTTTGAACATTTTCGACAATGTTAATAGTATTTTTTATAATTTTAACAATATTTTCAAATTAATGTAGAACTGTTTAATATCGACTTATTAAAATATAGTTAAATTTAAAATAATAATATAATAAAAATTTGGTTAAAAATTTAGAACTGCAAGCAGTTTTTTTATAAACTTATACATAATGAAAAAAAAAAAAATTAAGGAATAATTATTGACATTTAACTGTCATCTTTGACGATATCGCATAACTATGACTATTTGATTTAAGAACAGACTTAAAATTTAATTGATATGTATTCGGATATTGTGCGACTATTATAATTAATTTTACGTTATAAAAAAAAATCAAATTTATTATTTAATTTAAAAATTAGATTAAAGCCCACAGTTTGACTAATTACGTAGGTTTAGTAAAAATGTTCAATACTAATTAATAATTAAGTAAATTAATTACTTTTCATCAAATAATTCATTTTAAAAATAATTTAATATAGTCCAAAGAATATCTTGGAACCATAAAAATATTTTAGACTGCATAAAATTTTTTATTTCCTATAACCTTTTTATCTATAACTATAAATTTTTAAATATTTTATCACCTTCCTTATCCATACAATACTCTACTACAGCATAAACGACTAGTAGTCGTCTCTCTACGCCTTGTTTGTGCTTATCCGTAATAAGTGGATATAAGGGATCATTCTTTGACAGACGATCAATAATTTCGGTTAGTACACCACCCGAAAATACTTGCAAGCGATCCCAAGTTTCCTTTCGTAATCTAACAGAAAAATCAAATTTATTTTTAAAAATTATTAAAATATGTTAATTATTAATTGTACTTACAAACAACATTGGTATAGAGGCGCCAAAATGTCTAAGTGATCTTTGTTAGGGTTGCCAAATGCTTTACCATTGTCGACTAGTACAACGCGTTCTTCTCGTGTCTCATAGTGGTGACGATCGCCATTTTGTATCAGATAATCAAATATAGCAACATCAATAAGATCAAGAAGTCGTATAGTTTCCATTTTAGTCTTAAGGGCTCTGAAAAAAATTAAAATTAGTTTTTAATATTTAGTTGAGGCTTTATATCTATTTAAGGCTTTATGTTTTTACATATAATTTGGAACAATGTTTTAAAATATATATATTGCATTTTAATATTGTAGATTACGAATACAATATGCATATATTGCACAAGTAGCTCCGAAACGATTTCGTTACGAATTCGGTTTGTATTTATGCAAGAGTTTTGTTGAGTGCTGTTATTGCATCTCATCCGGACCTTAAAAGCAAGCACATAAAAGCACATAGGGAAGTTGAGTAGAATATGGAATGCGGAATTAATAATAATAATAAAATCTAGTTAGAGTTGAGGTGGAGAAACTTTGCTAACTCAATGAAGCGGAGCCACAGATCGATAGGGCTCAGATTGGTATATGTGCTAGAGCAAGCGAAAGGATAAACAGTCATGGGTCACAGAGCTTAAGTTGCGGTATACATAGAGTATTGTGTTGTTTATGCGTGAACACAGGGTCTTTAGCACGTATCTATAATCGTACCTCAACTGAGCTAAGATGGTTGTTGCTGTACATGGAAGACATTTCACTTTAGTAGTAATATCTCACAGCTTTGGTTTCGGATTTAGTCTTAAAAATGCACTGAGATCAAGTTAGTTGAAGATAAGAGTTAACTTATCAACAAACATAAAGACAAAAGACCAGTGTGTCTATAGGTACGTACCAAATTGTTTTTGATTGCCAAAAACCTAATACATATCTTGCATATGTCATCATTTTAAAATGTTACAACCGGTTATGACAGGTATTTGTGATACCAAAGCAGGAGAAATAGAAGACATTTTAAGCTTTATGAAAAACTTGTAAATTAGAGTAAAATAATAATTATAAATAATAGAAAATTGTTACTCGATGTTATTACTTTATTGTATAAAGCGATGTTTCTCAACATGGGGCGTAGACCCTACATGGGGCATTTATGATATTTTAAATAAATTGATATCGTTAATTTTGGTACAATGATGACTAGGAATTCTCGCTTTTAGGTTTTTTTTTGTATATGGAAAAGGTCAGGGATAGAGTTCGAAAAGATATAAATATATTTTGATCTGTTTTCCCTTTCCGAATAATACTTGTTGATGTTATGCATAGTAGCATTGGAATTTTTTAAAGCCATAGTGTTTGACAGAAAAGGTTAAGAAACTCTTGTCTAAACTATTAAATTACAAATGTACTTTGGAGAAAGAAACTGTAAGTCACCTTTTTAAACTTAGATGTTAAGATTATTTAGAACCTCATTAACTAAAATAATACATACTTGCAATAATTCATATCATCCTCCCAAGGTGCTCTTTTATCATCTTTATATGTACGTTGCCAGGGTGAGCGACGTTTGCTTAACGAACCCGGAATAATAAAAATTAAAACTCCTTCGATATTATTATGCTCATCACCACAAACAGTCTCGTCCTCATTACAATAGTGACATTTACCAAATAGGCAATAATGTTCAGTACCATTATCAGATGTTGTGATTGTCATAGTATTTTGCAACTCATTATCACCGTTATTATAGATATCAGTTTTCAAATTAATCACACGTCCCACAACAATGGGTGTCCAACGAAAATCCAATACTGCACCCAAATAAAAAGCATAAACCTCAGCAGCGTGACGATCTTTACCAGAATAAACGGGTCCTTCAATGATTTCACCACGTTCATACCATTGGGGTTTAAAAATAACCTTCTGTTGATTAGCTAATTTTACGAGTAGTTTTAGTTGTGTGCCTTTTGCCAAATTTGTCACCTTGGTAATCGGTTCGAGGTGTAGTGTTTGCAATAGCTGACCCATAGATGAATCATATAAGGGATAAATTTCATTTTCACGTGGCCACTATAAACATTGAAATAAAATTGTTTTAATTTGTATATTGAGGAAAGAATATATATGTATATATTATATATATGATTCATACATACCCAATTTGCGATATCCCATAAGACAGTAGCATTTT